AGTTGGGAGGAGATGGGTAAGGGTTGAGAGGAGATGCGGTAAGAGACGAGGCATATGGGCTGGGGTAGCGACCGTGTTTGTTAATTGAAAAAAAAGATTGGATGAACTTACAATCTTAAAATATTGTTTTTCATTATCCATATCCGCGCAAGGATAATAAGCTTTTGAGAAGAAAGAGACTAAGAGATTATGAAAGAGTCTATTAAATAGAAAAGAGAATAAGGAGAAAGAACACATAAAACATCAAAAAAATCGAGAAATTAAGATTAAACAATATGAGTATACAAGAGAAGAATGAAAAAAGGACAGAGATGCTTGTGAAACTACCAAAAAGACACATGGAAAGCAATGGTCTAAAGAGAGCCTTAGTGATGCTCTAAAAGATGAGGAGCGAGGAGACAACTCTAGGCCATAAATCCCATCTTGCATTACAAGGTTGTGCAAAAAATCTTGATCCATTGTTATTTGTTGATCATCTTTCACCTTCGGTTATGTTTGTGAAGAGGTTTATTTATTCATCAAGTGAAATGTGTATGCTAATTATGTTTGATTTGTACACGAAACTAGAAAATTGTAAGTTTGAATTTTATGGTTAAAAAATTAACTATTCGAATTTGATCTCTGTTTTTTTTTTTNATAAATTGTGTTTTATGTTGAACTCCTTCGCTTATTAGAAATTGTTGGCTGCTCATATAACATATGAAAGCTTGGTGAAATTGCAAGTAAGATCTTTTCTCTCTGTGATCTATGTTAGTTAGTGTCTTTTTAACATTCATTATGGATTCATTATTCAACTGGATTGTTATTATCATCGGTTCATCACTAAGCCTCATTCACATTGTCGTGGTCTGAACAAAAGAAGAGTATGACTGTATGACTATGAGCAAAAAAAAAGAAACAAATACCCAACTTAATCATAAAATCATTTAACTTTGAGTAAACCAAGTTACATGTTACACAAATACAAGCAAAAAAAAGGAAGAGTATTGACGTTGTAAAGATCCACAATAATAAGGATTGATTGCCGATAAATTTAGGCTCTTTGTTTTTTTTAGAATGACGTTACTTATGGTTAGATTTTTTTTGTTAATACATTATAATCCGTAGGATAAATTTATTAAAATAACAAATCTAATAACACTATTAAATGTGTAAGCTAAGTTTGTGGCGTATATATAAATATATAACCATGCACGTAATTATTCAAACTTTGAGGTCGAATGTACGACGATACAGTGCTTGTGGTCAAAAGTTCAGATGATACAGCTCAAGTGCAACTTCCGAAAAACTGCAAGCACCCAAAATCAAAAAGATTTAAATCATCACAAAAAATTCCACGACAGATCAATGGAATCGAGTCTTGGATCGTATTGAAGAGCAGGGAAGATTTTTTATGGGATGTAGAGAAAGTTTCTACACATAATTCTGATGCATGTGTTAAAGAGATGAGAAAAATGGTCTTTCTTAATCAAGAAGGTGAGCTATATATTGGGCACTCCTTGTATTTTTTTAGAAGAATGAGTAGAGGCGACAAAATTTTATGACACTACCAAATGAGAGAAAGAATATTGAATATCATGAAAGAATGACAGGAATAAAGAACGAAGTATCAAAGTATTTTAAATACTTTTTTATATGCTTTAATCTTATTTGACCTAAATAAAAAGAGCTGATAATGCCAACTATTATTGGTCCGGTAAAACTTATAATGATAGTTCATTTCAATATCTGGGTATATCAATAGATGCAAACTTTCCCTTTTGCAATAAAACCTCACATTCTTCTTTTTTGAATTGTATTTGGTTGATTAGATTATCTTTTGATTATTAAACTGCTTTTCGGAGTATTTTTGCTTTTTTTTTTTTAAGTTTTTCCAATATTATTATTCTGCGATAACCAAGTTAAGTTATCACTATCGTTCAACGGTACTAGTGATAAATTAAATGTATTTCTAAACATATAGTGGACATTAAACCACGGTACTAGTGATAAATTAAATGTATTTCTAAACATATATAGTGGACAATAAACCAAAAAGAATAAAAAATCAGATTTTTTTATGTGCAGAATAAAAAAGATAGCAAGACTTTAGGGGAAGGAGCCCCACAAGGAGAGACAGAGACAGTGCGAGCTGGCGAAGAAATCATGTTCACGTGGCTGTAGCGATGGGTCCCAAAAGTATACATTCTTCTTCGCCCTTCCCTTTTTATTAGTCTTGGGAAAAAATCCGTTAAATCCAATTCGATTCACTATTCATTTTGGTCTGAATAAAAAAATTCGAATATCCATAAAATTTTGAAGTAAAATAAATACTAAAATATATTATCCATTAAAAACAAAGCAAATCACACTTAAAAAGACCGATATCCGAACCGATCCGTTTATATAAAGTAACAAATGTGTATGATTAGTTTTTTTTTTAATTATAAATATACAACCCAGCGTACTAAAACCCACTCATTCTCACTAAATATATAGATTTTATTATGTTTAAATAAAAAAAATAATTTAAAATGTTAACGGATTGGATCAGATATCTACATATATCTTAAGAAACATTCGGATATTCGACTTTTCATAGATCGACCCAGTCGAGTGGAACGCTGCCACTACCTTACTCTTGTCGAGGCTCTCGTCCGGATCTCTTATCCGGATTGAGTATTCCTCAACCACTACTTTACCCTATGACCCCATAACTACTAAAACACCATGAAAACGATAATAGAAAATACTAGAAAGGAGAAATTAGGTACGGATTGCGCCTTACCTTAACCATGAACCTTTATCCGCGGGGATGGGGTGTTGAGTTCCTTCTCAAGCTCCTCCTGATTCTCTCTTTCTAAGCGTTTTTCTTTTGCTCTAGAAGGAGAGAATCATTTTGGTGTGTAAAATATGAGATCCCTATCTCCCTATTGATACCCCAGAAAATCTCCCTACAGAATATTCACTTTTCTTATTTTTCTCTACCTCCTTACTACACTGGCCAAACCCATTATTTTTCCCCTTTCTCTCCACGCTTTCCCCCCTCCCTTCAAGGGTTTCCCACGTCATCAAAACCCTAGGCCATCCATAGGTAAAACAAGGCCCGCTAGACCATTCCCTGGTGATGAGGTCATCAGACCAGTAGCTAAACCGGAGCTCTATCAAACATGCCACTTAAGCCACTTAGGATCCGACTAGGACACATGTGCCTTTCAAGGAGTATACCAAAGCAACCCGAAGGAGTTAAGCAACAAATCAACTTGTTCCAGAGAGTTGACTCATCAGAGACTCACCAAGAAGTGGAACCGGGTCAATAGGAGCTCAAACCAAACCAGAATCGAATTTACAAACAGGGCAATTCCATACTACATGTTTAATGAAGCTGATACAGACCTATGTCCATTGTTCGATGAGTTCCAGCTCAACCAAGAAGATTCAAGGCATGAGACCACTTGGAAAACATTCTCAACTCATCTAGATCATACTTGAAGTGGAAACATCTCAATCAGAGTTTATATGAAGGAGTTATTCAGTCTACAAATCGGGTGATCTCGTACTTTCTCGATTTAGACATGCAATCACTTATTGGAGGATTTCCGTCAAACCAGGACGATTTAAGCTACAAACCGACTTGTTATGGAATCTTGATTCAACATAGAAGCTCGAAGAATTGGATTCATGACAATACGGATTTTGGTTTAAGATTTATTCAATTTCTAATCCAAAGTATTCTCGACTTGCCTTATTTGGAACCTTCCGAGTTTGGGAGATTGCAAATGTATCTTTGGAGACCAGGAGACCTTCTACATCAGCTAGAAGCTCTACAAGACGTCATTAGCTCAATCAAAACGCATGAGATCAGGTGGATTCAATCTTGCTGATCCATACCCCAAGACTTTCTTTATTTGGCGCCGAGAGCATTTAAAGACAAGGACCAACGACTTTATTATGATTTGGTACATATAACGAGATTTAATAGCAAATTAACAAGCCATGGAATCATCCCAAAGCTGTCAAGATACAAGAGCCCACGATTTTCCTTGTTTGGCCAAATATTAAAGCCTTCAACAGCTATATCATCAAAGTACCATCTGTTTAGTTTATTTGTTTCTTTTTTTGAAGTTTTAGAACGTTATGTTAGCTTTGCTTTTGAGCATATATAAGCTCAGTTCATTGTTCATTGTAAAAGGACCCTTGATCATAGTTTAATAAGAAGCATTTCGTTTTCTTTCAAAGAACGAGTCTCTTTGAGTTGTTTTTGTCTTTAGGTTCTAAGTGTGCGAGACACTTCTAATCTATAGATTCACGGATTTGAGAGTGTTTGTGTGATTCAAACAACCTTGATTCACCACTGATTGAGAGAGTCAATCGCTTCTACACTCCATCGCTACCTTCATTCCACCTTCCGCGTGATAAGCTTGGAATCTCTTGATCCTAGAGTGATCATAAGTTGGAGTGATTCAAATCTTATATCACCTGGTCCGGTAGGATTTCTACCGCAATGAGACCTCCTCAGTTTTTCTACCTAAACCTCTACCGCGGTTCTGGGATGTTATATCTCTTCAAACTCTATCTTTCAATTTTATGTTTTGTTACATTTCATACAAACCGAAATTCAGAAATATTGTCTCTTGTTATTTCTGTTTATTAATAAACTAATTAAAAAAAAATAGTTTAGTCTTTGTTTAGTTTCATTTCTCAAAAGAAAAAAAAATTATTTGTTTCTTTGTTCAATTCCCTTTGTACTTCCGGTTTTTGTTATTTTGCTAAACTCCTAAAAGCCAAATAAAAATTTTAGTTCTTTCATTTGAAATTTCGTTTTATAAATCAGAAAAGAAAAAAAAACAATTTCCTTTATTTTATATTTTTCAAATTGTTGTTTCCATAAAAATTTGAAAACCAATACAAATTTCCTTTCTTGTGTTTATATTGAATTTTTCCTTAATTGTCTACATTGAATACAATTTCTTAATTCTTCCTTTGTTTTCCTTTGCAAGGTAGAACCAAAATACGAATCCATGGATTATGAAGATGAAGAGGATGAAAGGAGTGAGTTTAATACAACTGAGGTCGATTGGGGTGAAGAACCAAATAATTCATGGGAAGAAGAATCGAACCAGAATTGGTGGGAAGAAGAAACTGAATCCAAAATCAGTTTAGATGAAAATGATGGACGTGTAGCTGAATCATGGAGTGAGGAGGCTAGTCTCACAACCAATTTCGATGGAGATTCAGAACATGAAGAACTAAATTTTGGTGAAGAACCAGAGCGTGATGAATGACATTCTGAACCGGAAGGTTACTTTGAAGGAGAGGATAATCGCCAATGTAACGCCCATGAACCAAAAAGGTGTATTTTTGGTTGGTGCGTCGATCGACACAGTGTGTGTGTCGATNGACACACGTNNTTNGACTNNNGAGNAGTCNGGTTTTGAGTGTTGCGTCGATCGAAACAAGTGGTGTTTGTCGATCGACACAGGTTAAAATCAGACCAAAAGGTTCGGTTTCTGATCGTTTGGTTTGGGGTCCTGTTTAGGAAGCCCTTGGGCTTCAGTATATAAACATGGGGCCGCATTTTGTTTTTTTATTTGCCAAAAATCAGAAGAGAAATCAGAGAGAATTGAGAGGATTGAGAGGAAAACGGATTATTGTTGATTTCCTTGGAGTTCTTGATCCTAAAAGCTTGTTGTTGAGATTTGTGAGGCTGTTGGAACGTGAGAGGATCGTTTCTCGTAGAAATCATAGGCTGGGCGAGTCTGATTTGGGATCCATTCTTCGCGTTCTTCGAGTTCTTCGTAGTTTATTTCCCAAAATCAAGTGAGTGCGCGACCATAGGTTTATCTGGGTAAAGATTGGATAGAATATGATTGTTTACTGTTGTTTGGTGTGGATTTCGTATTGTTATGTGATGGATTCGTACAGGAGATTGATAAATCGTGGAAAGAATCAAGCCATGAGAGGATAGGCTCGTTTCCTCGATTCTGCGATGTTGCGTCGATCGACGTAATTGCTTTGCGTCGATCAACTCAAGCATCGTGTCGATTGACACCAGGGTGGCGTGTCGGTCGACACAGCGCAGTGCATCGATCGACGACGACGATCGACATAAGTCTTCTGGACTGATTCTCGTTTGCTTGTTTATGTTATGCACTTGCTGATTGCTCATCCTGGT